TGTTATCTGATTTATCAGCAATCAGACGCACACAGCGAAGAAGCCAAGCCAGTGTGCAGGGACCGTCTGCCCCCAGACTCCACACACTCAGCTCTCGAGTTTCTCGTTTTACCTTGTCAGGCCTGGTGTTTTCTCTTGTGTCTCCTCCTGCCGATGCTGCATCCAGACCCCCTGTTCTTCCTCCAGAGGGTCCTGGGACTCTCATCCAGGGCCCAGACTCACCGCAGGCTCGGTCCTCCACTCCCAAGTGCTGTCACCCGAGGTTCCCACTGTCTAGCCCTCCTCCAGATGCCTGCCTTAAACTGCTCAAAATAACTCCAGCGTCCTGATAAAGATCAGCCCTGCTGAGGGAAAAACAAAGCAGAAGCCCTCGTGCACACACGTCGGATGGACTGGAACGCCAGGCCCCCGCAGCCGTGCTCCGCGGCCTCCCTAGGTCACCGGCGGCGGTGGGCTGGCGCCAGCTGCCACCAGTTCACAGGAGCCAGCGTGCACGTCTTTTCCCAGCTCCGTGTTCCAGCTCTTGGTAATTTGGGATTGTCTGTGGTGGGAGTGTTGACACCACGGAAACTGGTGCAGGCTACCAAGGAGGGCCTCGCGCCGCGCAGTGTACACCGGCCATCAGACGCGCACCGGCCCCCCACTGGCACGGCTCTTCCTGAGAACCCGATCGGAGCTATGCCACCTCGCCCAACAGAGAGGCGCATGTACCGTGTCACCCCACTTCCCACATAATACCAAGGAACTGGTGGCCTTCTGAAACCCTGGAATGGGACCCTCAGGTTACAGACCCCTCCACCCCGCATTCTTAAGCTTTCAGGTATTCTCCCAGGAAAAATGGAAAAATAAATGGGCAAATGAGCCAGAACCTGGGCCAGAGATTTGACATTTTATTGCAAAACCTAATTCAGTATTTGGAAGTATGAATGTGTCATCATTTTACAGACAGGGACACTGAGGCCCAGAGAGGTCATGTATCTTGTGTAAGATTTTACAGACACTAAGCCATCGATATAGGATTTGAACTGAGGACGCTGGTCTTGAAAGTTCATCTCTGTTCATTCAATAAGCAGCTTTCTTTGGAAGAAGCAGTAGACGGGCACTGTGGGGGGGCAGAAGGATGCCCCCCAAATGCCCACATCCTAATCCCCTAAACCTGTGACTCTGTGACCTTCCACGGCAAAGGGACTTGGCAGATGCGATCAAGGTGAAGGACCTTGAGACAGCAGATTGTCCAGGGTCATCTGGGTGGGCTGAATGACATGGTCCTTGACAGCAGAAGAGAGGCAGAGGGGAATGTCAGGGAGTGAGGCGTGCGGAGGCCGTGACTCCCTGGTGCTGGCTTTGAGGCTAGAGGAAGGGGACTGTGGGTGGTGGCCGCTGGACGCTCAGGATGGCCTTCGGTTGACAGCCCGGGGAAGCTCCAGGACCTGCATGTGGTCACAACCCCCGTGGGGAGGTGGGTCCTTCCCAAGGCCTCCAGAAGGAAGGGGACACCTTGATTTCTGCCCAGTGAGGTGGAGGCGGGACTTGCGAACTCCAGAAACTCTGAGGTAGTCTGTGTGTCCTTTGAAGCGACCACATGCATGGTGACGTCTTAGGGCAGCAGTAAAATGAACAGCACTTTCTGTAAAGGGCCTCATAAGAAAAGGGCCATTTCCCCTTCCGCCCACTGGGAAAGGAAGGAGCAGGCCCTGGTGGCTCAGCAGAGGCGACAGGGCCATCCCTGTTGCCACCCTGGTTTCTCTGCTGCCAGCTCCAAGGGGGCAGCTTTGAGGAGGTGCAGCCCTCCATGCGACAGGTGGTGACGCTGGTGGAGGAAACCCATGCATTGGGGCTGGTGGGGACAGCAGGCCTTGGAGCCACAGACCAGGCTGAAGTCCTGGCATCTCCATTAACGGCTGTGGGGCCTTGCCACGGAAACAGCCTCTGTGAGCTCACGTTTCCTCCTAAAAACTTAGCTACCTGCTCCCATAATGTCTCTGTATAGGGACCCTGAGGCGGAAGTCTCCGGTGAAAGTCATTCTTCACCTACCACGTGTGGGTTTCTGTGAGATATGGCTTCTATGGGCCTCGTTACAGCTTCCGTCTTCCTGGCATTCTTTGCTTTGCGTTCCTCTTCCCTTTATGGACCTTTAAACAACGCTGAGAACTCAGCTTGTGAGTACTCTTTGGTGACCCTCAGCGCCCTGCCCGCAGGACACAGAGTGAGGCCAAGACCCTCCGCTCCGCGTCCTGGCTGTCCGTGTCCCCGGTGTGTCTCTTCTCTTTCCTGAGCCTTGCTGCCTGGAAAGCACACGGTCACTGGCCAGCTGGTCCTGGAGGTTGGTGTTCAAAGGCCTCCCGGGTCCCTGGCACGTCCCAGGTGCTCGGGAACTGACAGTTGTGACAGTCTGAGCAGAGTGGGTGGTAAAACAGGCCAGCCTGGCGCCCGCAGAATCCGGCTCTTTTCTGAGACAGAACAGTCCCGGCTCTGGATGTGGACTTCGCCCTTCAGGCCCCCGGAGCCTAGACATTTTTACGGCACGGCCCCTTCCTGCTTTCCTCTCAGGAACAAAGCTGACCCCACTCTAAGGGGGTCTAGGGTGCCTGGCGATGGAGCGCTGCACCCTCCTTCCCCCATCCCGACCCACTGCAGCTGGTCCTGTAGGTCACACACGTCCCCACTCCCTCCCACGAGGCCTGCCGGTGTGAGGGCCCTGTGTGGACACCATAACACCACACCGTTATAATGCCCGGCCTTGGTAAAGACGGTCGTCTCCGGGACCTGCCGCGTGCTGTGGCTGGTTCGGTCTGGTTTTTCATGATGAGGAACCTGAGACGTAGAGAAGTCAGATGGCATCCAGCGACACAGGCAGTAAGTGATTGAGCTGCATGTCTGCTGAGTGACTCAGCCTGCTGCCTGTCGCGTGTACACCTGGTGATGATGCTCGTGGTCGTAGGAGGCATTTCGGCTCTTGAGTTTCTCAGAAGTCCCCCGGCTAAGCTGGGACCTGGCCATTGGGCCCCAGCCCCGCCCCTGTTGGTCCCCACGGTCGGTTGTCGCTTGGCCTCACTGGAAAATCCCCCTTCCCAGTCTGGAGAAACTGCAGGGAAGCGCTGAGTCGGAGCCGCAGCCACGCTGCGTATTCACAGGGGGTCCTCCTTCGCACTCAGCCAGCCTCTGCCCAATCTGCGTTTATCTGGGAGCCACCCAGTCTGTGGCTGTCCCCTGGACATCTGTCCACTGGGTGCTCTCTGCCTTATACCACACAGAGGAGACTCGCTGGCGGTCCTCTGTGCCCTGCTCAGAGTTTCCGCTGTTACCTTAACGACAGCAGGTTGCATCAGGAAGGAGAAAGAACTGGGCGACCCTGCGTTTACCTTCAAAGTACCCACTTCATACACTGTCTTGCTCTGGTCTTTCCATCATCCCCGTGAAGCAGGTATTCAAACACAGATTCCATAGACGATGACGCAGGGGATCGGGGAGGTCGGTGACTTGCTAGACGTCACCCACCTTAACGAAGAGGGAGGAGCCACACCCTGGGCCTTTGGTTAGCATTGTGCTTCCTAGCAATGCTCCTGATCCGATTCCTTTGTTCAGCTTCCTGTGTGTCTCTTGGTAAATGGAGAAACCTCTCTGGACCTTGTTTTCCATATCGGAAAGATTAGAGACTGGCTCTTGAGATAAGTTTGGGGCAACTACAAGGTCAGAAAACAGTCTTTGTACAAGACCATGTCAGTTCTGACCCCAAGTGCAAGTTCAAGGGGTTCCCCACACCACCCTCGGTTTGATGAGTCACTGGAAGGTCACGCAGGCCTCCCCAAGAGCTGCTGTGCTCTCGATGATGGTTATCACAGGGAAGGGTGTGGACGAAAGTCGGCAGAGGGACAGCGGCATGGTCGGAGCCCGAATGGGGGGGCTCCCAACGCAAAGGTCCGTCACTGTCTCTTGTGGAATTAGGAACGGTCGTTCTCTTGACGTTGAAATGTGACAGTGTACACTGAGGACTGCCACTCGGGAGACTCGCCCAAACTTGGCGTTTGAAGGTTTTACCGGGGACTCGAGAGGCAGGTGTGATTGATTGGTTGGTTGATGGCCCCTGTGGTTACTCTCAGTCTCCAAGTTGGGCCGGGACTGAGTGACTCAGATCCCCCACCCTGAGTCACATGGTCAGTGTTTCAGGGTGGCCAGCCCCCACCCTACCACGGTAGGATGTGGTCACACATACCGGGCGATCTGGTGTGGCCAGCCTTTTCCTAAACAGAGACACTCCTTTCAGGGATGACATCAATTACTCCCCAAACACTGAGGACAAAGGCCAGACCTCTCTTTGGGGAAAGCCAAAGTCCTTACTGTTCAGCTATAAAGTCCCTCCCAGCTCCCCCACTCTCCTGTTCAGTCCCAGGGCCCCATGTACCCCTGGGCCGGTCTCCCCAGTGCCAGCTCCAGCTCTGTCCATTCAAACCACTCGTCCGGCCTCCAGCTCTTTATCTCCTTCCTGCCTGCAGCTCATTAGATATTCATTCTGCCATAGGTAATATTCAGTGACCCGCCGCTGTGCCAGGCACTGTACCAGGGTGGGCCTGCGTGGCGCATGTCAGCCTGGAAGAGCCGGGAGCGTGCACACCGTAGGTGAACAAGGGCCGGCACAGAGAAGGGCTCACAGTACAGGCCACTTCGAACAAACAGGTGTTGGGCTGATACTGTAGTACCGTGGCTGGAGTATGGTCAAAAGAACATCTCTCGGACAACTACGTACAGACCGTTCCCAGAGACTTGTGTGATTGGCGCAGTGTTTGCTTTAACCGACAGGCCCCAGGCCCACCCCAGGGGGGCCGCTGCGCTACAGGCCCAGCCAGACTGTGGCTGAACTGAGCCCTAAACGGAAGCCTAAACACGAAGAGAGAAAAGTCTTCATTTGGGGAGCAGTGCTGGTTTCCCGCTCATTTGGTTGTTCCAGCAGTTTATTACCCACTTCACCTTCACTTCTCCTCATTTCCGTGTGTTTTCTCAGCCTGGAACCGCTGGCTGACGTTCAGTACGCCTTCGGACTGCCCTTTCACCCTGCCTACGAGGGGCAGTTTACCCGGGAGGAGAAGGCCACGTCCCTGAAGGTCATGCAGTACTTTTCCAACTTCGTCCGATCCGGGTGAGTGGACCATGTGCACCCCGATGCTCTCATTGCGCTTCCCTGCCCCCCCCCAACACTAGACACAGGGCCGTGTTTTGCATTCATGGATTCGTGTTTGCCTTCCTCCACTGGGCAGTCACCTGCCCCCGGTCTCCCTGGCTCAGTCTCCCCTTTACAGCCAAAACTACCTTTGTGTGGATTCATCTTGGCAAAGAAAAGTTGAAATCTGACTCTGCCTTGTTCTACCGCATTTGATGGGCCTTGATCAGGGTTTCTCGGCCTCAGCCCTGTGGACCCTGGGGCTGGACGCTGTCTGTGCTGGGGACCGTCCTGGACACTGTAGGCTGCTTAGCAGTATCTCTGGCCTCCACCTCACCAGTGTCCCACTCGTGAGAACTGCAGCTGTCTCGGACCTTGCCAGATGTCCCCTAGAGGGCAAAGTCACCCTGAGTTGAGAACCACTGTGCTGGATTATCAAATTAAGTGAAAAAGCTCAAGACTCATCATTATCTGCCTCCCGCTGCCCCCACACACCTCTCCTCCAGCCCTTTTAGCAAACTGACTGCTCCCAACTCCCAAATTACCTCCTGCTGCTCCTCCCACCTGCAGCCGTACATGCACTGGTCACCTAGCACGGTCCCAGGACCCCCGGAAAGGTGACAGGTCAAAAAGTCATGTTTTAGAGACAAGCTATTGGCAGTCGGAAACATAAAACCCAACCATAATTAAAAGCAGGACAACAGAGAACTTGACCCAGTTTGTGGGAGTTAAATAGAAAGACCTTTCTTTTCATTTGGAATTTGAAAATGTTTCACTGTGGACGTGACATGGAAGCTGGGCCTTAGGGGATGGATAGGACCCTCAGGTAGGGTACTGAGGACAGCGGGCACTCCAGGGGAGGAGCCTGTGGGAGCCGGGGCAGGGGCCAGAAACGCCCCGGCTTGGTGAGTGTCGGGCGGGCAGGCGGGGCTGGGGTGCGGCTAGCACGGGGGAATGGCTGTGCTAGGAGGGGGTCCCGGATGACAAGTCTGAGAAGGAGCCTGTTTCGGGGGGCATGCGACCTCCTCTTTCCGAAGGAAGTTGACCTGCAGGTGGCAGGCGCATGCCCGGCTCTAGGTCCTCCTGCCCTCCCAGGCCCGTGGCAAACAGAGGCATCCCGGAGACCGGCTGTGGGGTCCAGATTGAAGGACACCACAGCAGAAAGGGGCAGAGGGGCCTCCCAAGTGTTCAGAACCCCAGAGGGGCACGGCCAGGACCCAAGCAGTGCTGCTGGGTCGTGACCTCAGGCCTTCCTCTCCTGGAGAAGGACTGAGAGTGTGAGCGCGGGGCCTTCGCGCCGTCAACCACTGTAGCGCAGCAGTGAAATCCTGCTCGGACCCCCAAAGAGGTGCAGGCCGGTCGTCAGGGGTCACGTGCTAGGGGAAGTGAGCCCAAGTGGTGAAAGGAAAGACAGGTCTCCTTCACGGCTGTCTCTCCCTTCCCCTTCTCCCAGAAATCCCAACTACCCTCACGAGTTCTCGAGGAAAGCGCCTGAGTTTGCAGTCCCCTGGCCTGACTTTGTCCCTGGTGCCGACGGCGAGAACTACAAGGAGTTCAGTGCCCTGCTCCCCAATCGCCGGGGCCTGAAAAGGGCCGACTGCTCGTTCTGGTCCAAGTACATCAGGTCCCTGAAGGCACCTGCAGGTAGGGGAGCCTGGAGCAGGTGGGGCCAGCTGGAGGGCGGGCGGGTAGTGGATGTGCTGTGTGTTAACTGAGCATACGGAAGCCGCCAGCTCACTGGGGGACCATCAGCACGGCTGCCTCCCACGAGGAGCTCCCAGTCTGGGGCACCCCTCTTTGCCAGGGGCCTCCTGTGCTGATGGAGGCAGGAGGTGGGTGTGAGAAAGAGATAGGACACTGTGTGTTGGGGGGGGGGGCTGTGGGACAGCTGAGTGGGAGCCAGCCTGCTATATTGGTGTCAGGAGAGAAGGTAGGACCTTGAACCTCCTCGCTGCCCTGGAGAGCTGGGTCAAACGTCTTGGAGAGTGAGCTCTAGCCAGGGGAGGAGTGGGCATTCTACCCCTTCCTGTTGAAGTGGATTTCCTGTCGAAGAGAACTTCCTGTTGAAGAGGTGTTAAGGAGAGAAAAGGAACCGTAACAAGGCCACTGGGAGCATCAAGCTACAAGCAATGCCCTTAAGAATCTTCGAGAGGGAGGGGGGAAGGAGGGACCGAGCCCAGTGCCTGGCCTCCAGCTTCCTGGTGCTGGCGGGAAGTCTGCCCCAGAGCGAGGGCTGGCAAGTCTTCCCCGGGAGGGGTCCTGGGCTGAGTGTTTCACGATGGCAGTTTTTCACGCAGAGTGAAGCATTCGTCAGGGAAGTGACCCTGTTCAATGCCTTTTGGATGTTCAACCCTGCTTTTACCTTCTAAGACCCAGAGGCTGTCTGTCGATGCACCCAGGTCCCATCATAGCCTCTGCCTGTCCTTATGGCCAGGCTATCTGGAAACGCCCTCTGTAGGGCATCAGCAGGGAGTGCCCCTCAGAGGCTTCGGTCTCTTCGGGTCAAAGAGAGAGTGGTGAGGAAGGGAAGTCTGATCTGAACAGGACCAGCTTTGCTCCTCGTGTTTCAGATGAAGCCAAGGATGGGCTGGCCACACGCGGTGAAGAGGAGGGGCAGCCGGCCGGCTCTGGCCTGAGAGAAGACCTCCTGGACCTCCCAGCTCCAGGCTCCCAGAGCTACAGCAAGTGACCGGCCCCTGACGCCCCCACCCACCCCACCGACCCCCCACCAGCCTGCCACCCTTGGCACCTCCTTGTCTAAAACAGCCACTAGCTTTCAATAAAGTGTCTGCTTGCAGTCATACATCGGTGACTCTGATTTGCTCATTCAAGGCTACCCTTGAGAGATGCCACACTGTGTCCTAATAATCTTCCAGTCTTACCCCATCTTCCTGTGTTTTGAACCCTGGGCTGCTGTCTGCCGTTTCCTTCCAGCAAATGTTTCTGTAGCATCCTCTGTGCCGGGCACTGGGGAGGCAAGAGGCCCGCCCTCCAGAAGGAGAGGAGAGCAGGCAGACAGACGTGAGGGGGTCCATCGAGGGCAGGCCCAGAGTCCTGCCTGTGTGTTAGGAAGGGTTCTCTTGTGAAGGTTCTGGAAAGGAGGTAGAAGAGCCACTAGGATGGTGCAGTGTTCTAAGCAAGAGGTAACGAGCTGAACCGAGGCTCAGAAATGGGGGGCGAGTGTGTCTGAGAGAACCGTTTAGGAAGAAGAATTGATGGGACCTTACTGAATGTGAGGGGCACATGCAAGGAGATGGAATCAGGACCCCGGCTTTTGGTCAATTTGGGTTCCCAGATAAGCAGCTGATTCTATCACTCACCCACCTAAGGGACACACTTATGAAGGCAAATTTATTTATTGTCTGTCTGTCCGTCTCTCTCTCAATTACACATACACACAATGAACCCAAAGTGAAAGTGGGTAGAGCTGATTAACAGTCTCTGTTGTTTACATGGCACGTCAGAGATGAGTTTACATACATTGTCTCATTTGAGCACAGACCAAACTCAGGGACGCCTCACGTGGCTGGGACTGTCACCTCATTGTACAGACATGGAAGGTACTCCTGAAGGTCTAGGGTGTGTCTGAATTCACACAGCGAGGAGTTCAACCCAGGTTTTCCGACTTCTCTGTTTCCTTGCACTTCCTGGACTTCAAATTGGTCTGCAGCTAAGTTGTGTGCCCTTCGAAACCTCCTGACCTCTAGGTGACCTCTAACCTACATTATAGGCTCTGTCGGCTAGGACGAGAAACCCAGCACCCAGCTGCGTGCCTTAACCTACAGGTCCTCTCAGAGGTGAGTGGTCCTGGGATTGAGCAATGGCTCAGTCATGTCCTCAAGGGCCTGGGCTCCTCCCAACCTCCTCTCTGCCACCTTCGGCACACAGAGAACATTTCACTTCACTGACGCAATGTGGCTGCCACAGCTCCGGATATCACACCCCCTCCTGACAGCGTCCTGTGCTGGAGGTGAGTAGGGAAGGGTGCAAGACTTTCCCTTCAAGTTCTTCTTTCTTTTTGTGGAGGAAAATCTTCCCCGAAATTACTGGTAGAACTTCCTTTACATCTGTATTTGTGTCCCCACTTTAAGGGAATGGGTTTACCATGATTTGATTAGACCCTCATGGCTTAGTCAGCTGATAGGCAGAGTAGCTGGGATTGCCCTGGTGGGTCCCCTGTAACCACAAAGGTACTTGAGAGTAGAGAAAGGAGACAAGAGGGAGGAGCAGGAAGGTGAGAGCAGGGGAAGAACTTGGCCTAATGTTGCTGGTTTTGAAGACAGAGGGAGGGCCAGAGCCCAGGATTATGGGAAATCTCTAGAAGCTGAAAAAGACAAGGACATGAATTTCCCACTAAATTTTTTCCTCTAGAAAGAAGTTCACAGAGCTGACACCTTGATTGTAGCCACCTAGATTCATGTTGGATTTCTAACCTACAGAACCATCATCATCTAATCAGTTTGTGTTGTTATAAGCTCATTCGTGATTTGTTACAGGGGGCATCGAAAATGAATACAATGTTATACCTGTTCAGAGGTATATTTTATCCTGCCCTTGGACCACACCCCAGACATAGCTCATTATTTTCCTGATTAAAAAAGTCCACTCCAGCCCAGTGTCAAAACCCCGAATCCACCGTCACTAGCCCTGAAAGTGTGTCATTTGCTGGTTGGGCGGGTGGTGGGCTGAGTCTGGGGGTCCGGTTGGGGCAGCCTGCTCTGTGAGCCCTGTACGTACGGTCGAGCACAGGGTGCCACCTGCTATTTGTTCTCAGCCTGTGAAAAATGTGAGAAAAAACAACCCATTATTACATCCTGTTGTAGTAATGACGCCTACTTTGCAGAGTCGCCCTGCGGATGGAGGGTGCTCGGGTACGTGAACAGAAAACCATAAAGTGCTGTTCAGAAAGCCCTTATGGTTCACAGCCGGCTCAGCCCCTGTGGCATGCCAGCCCGTGAGAAGACAAGCGTGGGGAACAGGAGGGATCTGAAGGCCAGGCCACCATGGCCTCTGTGCTGGGACAATGCTAAGAACAGTACGGCTGCAGGGACAACATACAACAGAGTCAGACTGTGGGAGCAGGAGGACCCCTGGGCCCCTCCTGAAGAAGGGGCTGGGAACACGGCACACAGGGGTCCTCCCACCAGCCCGTCATCAGGGCTGCTTTCGGAACTCTAGGCTGTGTCCCCAGTCTGATGTTTCACTGAGGTTCCCTTGAAGCTCGTACCCCTTTCCAGATGGGATGGGCTAATGTGTGTGCGGTTGATATGGGCTGGTGTCTGGGCCCCAAGCGGCCCCGCCTCTGGCCATTCGGCCAAGTGTGGATTCTTTGTGCAGGGACGCTCTCACAACGTGAGTGCCGGTGACTCGGAGGAGAGTATGGTATTACAGCTGGGGACAGGGAAACAAAGGAGGGGCTGGAAGTAGAAGCAGCACCAAGAGAGAAAAAGTCAGAGAAAAGGGGGCATGGAGACAGGCTCAGGGGTAAGCCTGGGACAAGCTGCTGCTGCCCACTGCTCCCTGGGGGTGCAGGTCTCACGGGGACCCTCGGAGTTTAGGAGAAAGACAGCAGGGATACGAGGCATGGAAGAGGTCTCGGGATGGTCTTGACAGACATTTGTTATTTTTCCAGGTGTGTCTTTCAATATGTCGATTCACCAAAATGTGTGGATACGGGGGTCAGGATTACTTTCTGGTTAGTTTTGTTTTCAAAGAACGTCATCAAGAATGTCATTGAAAAGGAACCGGCACTGAGGCCGTTCTGTTCCCAGGACACTCTGGAAAGTGTAAACCATTCGCTTCTGAGTGTCCTTGGTCAAGGCAGATAGAACTGGGTGATTCAGTAAATGGCTGTAAGTGGCTCAAGTTGCTTGGCCTCGTTGATTCTTTGGTCTCAGTTTCCTTTATGCCACTTGTCCAGGCTCTTCCCTAGCTTCTCACTCTCGTGCCTCGAGGAGACAGCCTTGAAGGCGTGGCAAACCCCGATCCCCCTGCAAAGGGCAGAAGGGCAGAGGTCACCACCGAGTCAGGAGGTAAAAAGGGCAGCACCTCAATCAGAGTCACCTTCAGGTTCAGTCAAGCAGGAATTGAGAAATGAAGGGAAGATATTCTCGCCCTGAGTACAGTCATTGTTCTGAGTCATCTTCCTCCAAAGCTGGAAGCAGCTGGGGAGGCAGGAAGCTGAGTAAGGCCGGTCCCTCTCTCCGAGGGAAGTTGAGACGCAAGCCTGCAAGGTCCTCCTCCTGTCAAGCCCCCTCACAGAGGCAGCAGAGTACCAGGGGCTCAGGGACACCTTGGTCGCCACTGGAGCTGGGGCAGCAAGGACAGCTCCTCCCAGGCCACCCAAGGCCACCGGGCAGTAGTGCCGCGGCAGGTCTGAAGGCATGGAAGTCCCCTGAGAAGCTGGTGCGAAACAGATTTCTGTCCCCCAGATTTTGAGAATAAATGGGCTAAGATACAGCTCGGAAGTCTATATTTTCAAATTAACAAGACCTGTAGTTAAGGAATGACCCCCTGTGGTCCCCGGTCTGCCATCACCTCATTCTGCAGAAGCCACTTCCTTCAACAGTTTGCTCAGGTCACCCCGAGCTTCTGCACAGTCTGTTTCCTCTGTACCAACTTGTACCAACGATTTCCGGGTCCCTTAACCAGCCTCTCCCCATGCACCTCCAGAAGCTGGCGAACAGCATACTTCTTATTTCTTCCTTTGGCTACTTTTATCGTTTGAAAGAATACAGTTTTCTCATTCCATCAACTTCCTAGCTTGCTAGTTAAAACAATGAGTGTGTTTGCACCCTTACACCACTTCATTTTCCCTTCTTTGTTCCTCTTCTCTTCTCCCTTCCGCTTCTCCCTTCCCTTCCCTTTCTTTTTTTTCTTTTCTTTTCTTTTTTCTTTTCTTCTCTTTTCTTTTCTTTCTCCATCCATGCTCTTAGATTTTCTTTGTCCTTCCACCTCACCTAAACCTCCCAGGCTTTGCTCTGTAGGGTGATTCCAACCATTGAAAACCAGTGAACTTAAATACCACATTAAGACTTCATGTAAATTGTTCCCAGGCCAAGTGATGTGCTTGAAGTCGGCATCATATTCCCCTGGTTTGTGAGACACCCCTGGGGTCTTAAGGTCAGATAGATTGTCCTTTATTATAGTTCATCGGTTGCTTACAGTCATGATACATTTTAGACTTGGCCCAAGTCTGTTATGCTCCTTGTAGCCCTAACTCTAACCTCCTTCTCCTTCAATTTCTTCTCTCTCTCCTTCCCTCGATCTTTCCTCCCTCCCTTCTTTCCTTCCCTGCTGTCTTCTCCTTTCTCCTTCTTTCCTTTCCTTCTTTCTCCCATGAAGTCCGTGCTTATATCCTACGTTCAGGTAATGCCTGTATCTCTACATCACCCTTAGTGGGGCTCAGACAGGTTTGGGCATGACTGCCTTAAAGGCAGCAGAATAGATGACTTTTCTAGTCACACAGGAGTTGGAGTTCTGACTCAGCAGCTCCCCAGCTGACTCAGCACAGGCTCCTCCAGCAATCAGGGCACGCGTCCAGTTGAAAAACGTGGCCGTTCTTGGCCCTCCAAGTGCCGAGGGACGTTCCCACCAAACAGCAGAAGCGAATGTACTGCATGAGCTGACGCCGACAGACAGCGGTTAAGTGTTTTCGTTGCCACTCTGGAGTCCTGTTCGGCTCCTTCCCTGTCTGGCCAGGCCGTCTCCTCAGTGCTGAGGATGGAGAGCCAAACAGTGCTGCCGACTAGCTCCAAGGCT